AAAAAAGCAAAAGTGGGCTCCTTTTTATCTCCTAAATGTAAATTGTGCCCTTGAGCTCTTATAGGAAAATATCATTCATACAAAGATGTAGTAGTAGGAGAAAAATAATCAGAATTGGTTCAATTGCTAATGCTGGGAGGGGGCCCGAAGGGATCCAGGAGGGGGCCCAAAGTGATCATCCAGGAGGCGTTGCCTTTGCCAGCCTCTTGGATGCCACGCGAGGCTATAAGACTCGCCAGAGAACAGGTGAGGGGCATGTGCTGAGCAGGGCATATTTAAGTGGGAGGCCACGTTGGCTGACCCCCTTTCTTTGTTGTGAATGCAGCCAGCTGGCTGTTAAATGGTCACATGATAATCAAGAGCTAACCTGAATCCACACTACAGCAGGACCCCCCTTTTTGCTAAGGAGTGGCAATGTTTATGATAATAGAATGGACTTCAATAAAGGGTGGCCCAAGTTTTATGCACACACTTGGTCTCGTGTGGTTATTCCAGGTAGGAGGGCAATGCCAAGACAGCATCTGGAAACAATAAAATGTGTGCTAGGATGGTGTTGTACAGTACAGTTATTTTATCTGTAATTTATTGTTCAAACCAGAACAATTTAACATAAATATTACTAGAGAGATTTTTCTGAAACAAAAGGGATCCTGTTGGTATTAGTGGTATTAAACACTAAAGGGCTACAGAATTATAGTATAATTGCCCCCTGAGAGTATTCTGGAAAGTTCACTCCTTAAGAAATGTTTGCTGACTGGCTATCTCATTGTAGCATTCTGAGTAAATTACCACACTCCCACCCAGTATATTTTCCCCATCCACATTTCCTTGAGATGGGTTTACTAGCACTGACCATACACAGCTGTTCGTAGATCCTGAAGGGCATTTTGGGATTGATTATCCATCTGCTCGTTCTTACTCTAACAGTTGAATGACAAGAACATAAGGGAATTTGTCTTAAATAATCAGCAAAAAATGTGGGAACACCAACATTTGGTTCCCACCAGCTGCTGTCGTTATTGCTCCGGATGCCACTTTAAGCAGTAAGATTTGGATTCGATCTGAATGCTGTGAGGTTCTCTGTACAAAATGAAGTCTGCAGTAAAAACACAAGAGCAAAATAAGTGACTAATAGCACATCTCTTCAACAAACTGCCTGCGTAAAATACAGTATAGAAGCCAATTTTAAATTTTTATCTTGCTTGCCATCCCTTTCACCTTTTTAAAATTTTTTATTATCAGTCTTATCTTCCACTATCAATTATTTCTCTTTTTATTGTTTGTTTTTATGTAAATTTCCATATGGCAGGCAGCCTCAAAGCTGTTTTGCAAAAGTCAAGGTAGAAATATTAAATATAAATAAAAACTGATCAAATAACGTGGAACTGTCCCACTTAGAGTAAGGCATAACATCAAAAATATTTTCTGAATTTGATTTTTTTAATCATGGCAAAAATATCAATTTATAAAAATATATTCAAACATAGTTTCAGTACATGTTTCCCATTAAAGGCATCAATAAATGTGGGAACAGGAATTGATTTAATTAATTTCTATTCCACATTTTAAATGGAGACTAATGAACATAGGTGGGAACAGCACAGATTAGGAGTAGGCTGATAAAGGCATCCCTCTTTTGTAGCTCTGTGAACCTGTGATATGTGGAACAAAGGTACAGTCTTAACTAGCCAAGATAGCTGAGGGCCAGCAGAGCTGACACCTGGCTAGCAGATGCTGTGGAGAATCTATACCTTTCCAGCCTATAGATGTTGGAACCTTGCTTAGGACTACCCTGTGTCCATCTCCTTTTCTGGTTTTAGTTCACTGAAATCAGCTACTATAAAGACAGTTGTGCAGGCACAAGAGGCTTCTGCTCGTTCAAAATGTGTATATATATAGTATACACACATACACACACTCTAAATTCCCCAGAACATCAGTTCCACGGATGAATAGTTCTGCATGGTGTTACATGTATCTATAGCCCGGAACGTTCTGTGGTATTTCTTGCAGCAAATTAACACAGCCAAAGGTTTGCCAGAATTTTGCTCGACAGGACAGGTGGAGCAGGATAAAAAATGAAGAAATAAATGCTTTTAAAGATCTGACATCTTATATTTATTTAATCTGTAAATACAGTATATACTCCAAACAAAGACTCAGTGTTAACTGGAGGATCTGCTGCACTTTCTTCATAATTATTCTAGCCATGCTGTGGTTTGTAAAATGAACCGAAATATTTGCTCCACACCTGTTCCATCTTTACTGTTAGGTGTGTGGCTCATGTTTTGTGATGAAGAACATGTCTGGTTTCTAAAGGAAACAAGGTGGTGTTCAGGAATGTGGAACTTGTCTCTACTGTATTGCATGGACACTTGGACCTTAATACAGGCAATTATATGGTGGATTTAACACAAGTTGTTAAGAGTCTCTTGGATTGATAGGGTTATGATGAGGTACTAAGGCAAATCAATATGGATCAAAAAATCATGAACATAACATTCTAGAAGAAATCCTAGAACATTTCAGTTATGTGATGAGAAACAAAAATGGAGAGGAAAACATGATTGTTCAAGGCAAAATGAGTGTGGAGAAAAGTGCAGGAAGAAAAAAGAAATTGGATGAATTACTTGGGAGACTGGTTTGGACAATCATCACACATTGCCCCACCTATTCCCAGAATAAAGAAAAGGGACACATGTAATGGGTTTAACTGAGGCTACAAGGAATTGGGTAGTTACAGTTTAAATGTTAAATAAACTGTAACTCCCCAATTCCTTCAGAGGGGCCTACCATAGTGCAGACATGTGGGTCAGGATCCAGAGGTCTCTCCCAACCTCCTCTCCTGCCCTGACATGGGCAAGTCCAAAGCTGTCTTACTTATAGCCCATCTCCAGCCAGTGAACACTGGGTCACCCTACCAGACTATGGGCAAGTGATGGCAAGGGCAGGTTCCTTGCACATCCCCTACTCCACAACAGCATCTCGTGATCTGCATTACAGGGATATTGGATGGGCTAGCACCCACTCCGGCACCCCTTTGGAACTCACTGCTAATCCTCCCTTTTCATTCTACCTGCCAGTATGACTTATTTAAGCACACCCTATCTCTGTTCTGCCTTTAAATGTCCTGTGAGCAACCAATGCAGAATAGGTAATAATTTCCTGCCCATTTTTTGTTCAGTATGCCCATCAGATGAAGGGGGGCAAAATTTCCACCCTCAAGGTGGCCAGCTAATCTCACACTGGACACACTGTGGGCAGCTGTGTCACAATGATCTGGAAAGAGGAGAGGTAGAAGGCAGTGCTGCCTTATATAGGCTGCACACCCCACCCTTGGCCCTCAATTATGTGAAAACAAAACTTTTGCTTCCCCTGAGCTCTCACCTCTCTCTGGATGTGGGGGTGGTGGCAAAAAAAAAACTCCCATGGAAGGAGCGTTCCCCCCTCCCAGAGCTGAACCTTATCATTGTTTTCAGTTGCCCCATACAAAATCAAAAAAGCTATTATGATGTCTAAATTCCAACAGGAGTAGAACACGTAAGACCAAGATACAGTACATGGAGGTTTTCCACTCTTTGGTCACCTCTGCTGTCTCTAAAAAAATGAATCTAAAAGTTGACAGTGAAGAGAGAAAACACAAACACATGCACCACATATTTGTGAATATAAAGTGCTCTTCCATTACCTTCCACTGCAAAGTGTCTTTATTTTATAAGGCCTATGAATTAATTATAGTGTTCTGTACAAATATTATACCTTAGGCTGTGAAGATACATACGCCCTTAGGACAGTTGGCCTACCAAAGGCTGGTTCTGCATATGGCTGAACTCTATTCCATTTGCACTGCCAGCATGCTGTAAGGGAATGTAGAGAGTATGACACTTTGCAATATTCTAGCAGTTGCAACTGAGGTGGGAGGGTGGGATAAATAATCCTAGCTGTTAGGCTGTGGAAAGTGAGATTTCAGGGAGACTGATATTTAGGCTGACAGTTTGCAAGTGCACCAAGTGGAAAGAAAACAGTTGAACAGAAACAGGAAAGCCTGCCTGTTGATTTAGACTGTGATAGACCTGCTCCCGTTTTATCCTTTTGGCCGTGCTGGATTGGTTTGCACATGATCTCTGACTTCACTCTTGCATACTGCTTGAAATCCAGCTCTCACTACTAAGTGTTTGACCTGGACTGTTTACTCCCTTTCACTTTTGATTCCAGACATTCGATGCCTCAGAACATGTTAGCCCACAGGAATTGTTATTTACCTTTCTTTCCAACAGATTAAAGGATCCTTATGTTATGTACCATCAAGTCAGAACCAACTGATAGCAAACCTATTAGGGCATGCAAGGTAAGTGATATATTTAAGGAGTGGTTTACTAGTTCCTGACCCCCAATGACTTTCCATGGATGAGTCAGGATTTGAACCAGGCCTCCTAAGTCCTAGTCTGTCATTCTATCTACTAGACCACACTGGATATCCTTTCGTACCATATGACACACCACATTCCCACCTCCTTTTTTAAAAGCTGGAAGCAGACATCTAGCACCCCTCTTTTTTCATTTTTGGTGTTTTCTGAGTCCAGAATAGGACCCACAGGGCAAAAAAAGTCTCTCCACATCTTCCAAAGCTCACCACCCCATTTTATAAGCTAGTCATCAATTCAGCTATTGTCCCTGAGGCATCTGTAGAGAGTTCACTCTGAGAGTGTATCTTCATCACACAGTTACATCACTATGATACTACTTAAACAATCATGATTCCAAGCCATCAGTGCTAGAGAACTTTACTGTACAGCTGAATGACAGCTGACAATTCTAAATCCCTCCCCAACCTACAAATTCCAAATGACAGAGCCATGGCAATTAAACTGCTATAACCGGGTAGCATCGATGCACTCTTTAATGCATTCTAGTTAGATACCCTCTCATTAAATCCAACTGTATGGAATTATTAAATAACCACACTAGTCAACTCATAGTCATTCAAGAAAAGCCTCCTATGATGCCAGACACTACAATTTTAATTTCATGGAAGGCCTAAACATTTACTCGACCTGACCAATGAACTTCATAAACTTGTGGTTGCCACGATATTTGGAGATATTTTCTGGGTTCCAGGTCACATCCAGCCAGGCCAGGATAATCCTTGGATCTATAACGGCCATAAAAAAGTCCAGGTACCTCCGACATATTCGAACCATCCACTGCCAAGTATTTTCCCCTGTCTGTGCCCTCTCTTGTTCTTCCAGGATATATTTGGTCCAGTCTAGTCTCTCCTGAATCTTTTGGATCTTTTTCAGAGTACGCCTCCTGTTATGTTTGGTGTGGTGCTCAACCATCTTCAGAGCCTTGGGTTGCACTTCTTTTAGTAGAGCATTGGTATCATCATCATAATCCCAAATACAGCCTAAAGCAAGATCCTCAGCAGCTTCTTCCCAGTGACCCAGGAGCATGTGGGCTTTCCCTCTCCACTTGTAGGCCTGCCCATCTTCTGGGTTGAGCTCTGAGGCTTTGTTGCAGTCTCTAATGGCTGCATTGGGTTTTTGCATTCTGACAAAGATACTGGCTCGGTTGGCATACAAATGTGAGGACTTTGGGTTCAATTTTATAGCCTCTGTAAACAGATCAATAGCATTCTGTAGCTCTCCTTCCTCTAAGGCAGCATAGGCTTCCTCTTTCTTCTGTTCAGCCTCAGTCTTCATGTCATTTGTCATCTCTAGATTTTCATCTCCCATTTCCTGGGGATCATCTTCATCTGGTTTGATAACTCCTTCTTCCTCCATCTCTAAGTCACTCTCATCACTTGTAGGTTGATCTGCTGGCTTTCCTTCCTCTTTGCGAAGTCTCAGAGGGAAAGCCTCAATTCTCTGGAACCCTGAGATAATGTCCCCCATGCTATCCAAGGAATCTCTTAAGAAACTTAGTTGTTTTGCTCTCAGAAGTGTTGGGTTCTGCTTGTAAAGACTAAGCAATGCTTGAAGATCGCCAGCACTTTTAGGATCCATGATGCCCTGTCCAGCTAGAAGCTGGCGTGAATAGCAAGATGCAGCAAAATCCCTCTGCTAGAGAAATAAGTGGTGGGTGGAGGATGAGTCATGCACAAACAGCAGATGAATTACAAAGCCACTTCTACCACAGGAGAGGAAAGGAATGTGTTTCCCATGTGTCCCCCTCCATGTGGTCCTGCTGCTGTACATAGATAAAGCTGCAGAACATTAAAAGCACTGGTATCTATGATGTGTGGGTTATGTCAGATGTTCTGCTGATGTCACGGATTGTGACATCACTTCAGTGCTGAGCATCAATTTGCAGATTTTGTTGACTTCATGATTTTTAGTAAGTATGTGCAAATTAATATATAAAAATGAACCAGATCAGAGATATTTGTGCAATTCCAGAGCAATAGCTGAACCCCCAAATAAAGGCAAGATCTCCGCTTAATGTTCCATTCATAGAGGTGCTAGAGGTGTAGTTTATATATCCCATCACAGCCTCTCTCTCAGCCATTTTATCGAGTTGTAGGGTGAAAAGAAGCACTTGTGTTACTGTCTCATCTTCATAAAGATTGTTTTACTTCATTGTTTCACCCATCTCAGTTTGCTAAATTTACTGAAATAGATTACACTGTTACGATTAGTTTTGTTTGTGATTATGGAAAGTTCATTGTTGTATGGGCCTTGAATTGACAGGTTACACTCTTTGGGTGCTATGTACGTAGCACACACGCACACATTCACACACATGCACGCACACATGGGTCACCAATGACTCCTCTCTCATTTATGGGATTTTAGTTTTATTTTTTAAAATACAGATCTGCAAATGCAAACATAGTGGTATAGGCCCAGGGATGGGGCAGGTTAAAATGTCTTCTGAAAGGCACAAGGTCAGCCTGCCCTGGTCTGTATGCCCTCTATTTGGGCACAGAATGAGTTGGGGGATTTCTGTACATCTACGGCATTAGAATGAATATCTGTGTACATAATTAATTGGCATGGCAATAAGTGCTTTAGAAGTAAGACTTCTGGAGCTTGATTTAATTGATTTAGTCAGTGGACCATAAACTTAGGTTCCAGTCTATTGATTTTTCTACTTTGCCTGGAAGTTTATTTAGAATCTCTCAGTGATAAAAAAAATACAATTCTGGGCAGGCTCACTAAGAGTTAATTTGCTTCCTATTAACAATTGTTCACTGAAGTGTGTTGCAGGAAGACAGTGTTCCATATTTTCCAGGATGTATTCTTAGTTCACATAGGATTCTTGTGAAGCTGAAAGAGCATAACCACTTCACCTTAAAGGTTCATAACTAACTGAAACAATTCAAGGGAAAAAAAATATCAGCCTCAGTCAGAGGATTACTCTCTGTTTTCAGATGCATGGGATATTTTCAGTTTACAGTGAAAACTGTAAGGTGTAAATGTGACACAGTCTTGTTTTCACATATGTATATCACACAGGTATGCTTGTTAGGGAGCTGTGATTTCAGCAACTCCATATAGTCAGCAGCAAACCTATGCTGAATGGCCATAGATACTGTCCTTGAAAATAGTAACTGCCTGCCATTTGCATTTTGTCCCAAGACTGAGCTTCTTGGGATGGAAGCCTCAGTATGAAATACAGTGGTGCCTCGCTAGATGATTGCCTCGTGGGATGAAAAACCTGCAAGACAATTGGTTTTTGCGATCACAATAGTGCCTTGCAAGACTTTTTTTCTATGACCATGCTTTGCAAGACTTTTTTTGAGGCCGATGCTTCGCAATTCTTCTTCTTCTTCTTCTTCTTCTTCTTCTTCTTCTTCTTCTTCTTCTTCTTCTTCTTCTTCTTCTTTAGACCGATGCATAGGGAACCTCACAAGATGACAATTTTTGCGGAACAAATTAAAATCGTCTTGCAAGGCACCACTGTACTAGATCATATTGAAGTGACCATAGGCAGGCATATCTCCAGCAACAGAAACCACTTCTACGATACAAACATAACACATTTGAAAATGTATCTTCTGGGATAAAATGAGTTTAGCAATGTATATTTATGTGAGAAAATCAGTGATCATGTGAAAATGGCAGGAGCATTCCTAGAAACAGAAAACCTGTGGTTGAAAACTGACATCCAAAGTAGATATGAACCATTGTAAAAAAAAAGGGGGGGGCTCCCAACTCAGAAAGTTGCTCTGGAGGAATACTATGGTCAACTGTGTACAAAAGTCACTAAAATATTCAAGAAAATCAACACAGTTGACTTGCCCCTGCTTCTTGCTTGGCGAAAGTCATACACCAGAACAACTAAGGATGTAATTCTAACTAGTTAAGATGGCTGAAGGCTGGCTGAGCTGACGAAGCCATCAGAGGCTGTGCTGAGACTAATTTCCACCAATCTAGGCATGATGGAAACTTCTTATGCCTACCCTGACCTAGACCTAATGTTGTGCTGTGGCTGAGAGTTTAGCCTGACAAGCATTTGTATCTTGTGTTACGCTCCTCTCCTGTTCCTCCACTTCTCCACCTCTCTCTCTCTCTCTCTTTTGCTATTTCGACAGTTGATCTCAGCCGGCACACGAGTTTTGTGAGAAGATCCAATTGTGCTGATAGATCTGAGATTAGTTGGCATGAAGGGGCTTGTACTGATACAAGGACAATTGTGACAACACAAGGGCAGTTCTGCTGGCAAAAGAGGCTAATACTTATTCCAAACCCATTAAAAACTGTGTGTCTTTGAGTTCAGATTGAATTCAGTTTCTGCACTTCAGTTTAAATATATGCTATCAGAATTAGAGATGGGCACAAACCGCCAAAATGGAGGTTCATGGATCTCCACAAACTATGAATTTAGGTATTATTTCCAAACAAACCATGAACTGAGTCATTGGTTGCCTCCTGTCCCCACAGCCTGGCCCCCTTTCCACTGCCTCATTGCCTCACTACCTTTTCTTCCTTCTGTTGCCACCGCTGCCATCTTGAGAGGGCTCTGCGGCCAGTGGCCTTTGCACACGTCTCCACCTCTCAGCATGGGCTTGCGCAGAGGCTGCCTGGCCGACTAACAGGCCAGCTAACAAACAACAACAACAACAACAACAAAGGAAAAATAATTGATTATATTTTCCCCCCTGGCTTGTCACCAAGATGCCTCTGCACAGACCCCCACATCTCACCTGAGAGGCAGGCACCTGCACAGAGGCTCCCTGGTGGGCTGACAGGCCAGCTGCTAATATATATATCTTGTCACCAAGATGCCTCTGCACAGACCCCCACATAAGAATATA